AAACCCACAGTATTTTAATAATGTCATCCAAGTAATAAATATAGGCTTGTCTGAGAATCTATGCTACAGAGATAGAGACCTGAGATGCCGTAGTTACAAATTCAATTAGATATTTCTCCAAGCTCCATTTCTTCTGTCTTGTATACTCATTTTACTAACTGCTCTATTTTCTCTGTTATTATATTCTGTAGCCCCACTTCTCATCTTGGTTCTTTGAGCAATGTGCTTTACTGACTCTATGTTTTATAGGAAGAAGATAGAGCGCAGGGATAGGTCTATTGTGCAGCAGAATGTTTGCTTACATCCACTTGCAGCAGACAAGGCAAAGAGAGGTCTGTAGCAGTACGTTCATTCAAGGGAATGAATGGGAACACCCAGACATAAATACAGCCAGAAACAACAGCTCTGAGATTTGTGGACTTTGGCATTCATCTGAGTGGGCGTTCTTATCTTTGGTCCCTGACCATGCAGTTATGTGCTGAACCTATGGAACTTCTAAGATTCATACTCCTTTGCCAACTGAATGTGATTGGAATCTACTTTGAGACAGTTTATTCTCAGACCTCAGCTACAGGCCAGGTGCCTTGTAGTGAACTGTCTTGTGCTGCAGCATTGTGTTTAATGTTTATCTGTTTTGTGGCACCAGCTATTTTCCTTTCCCACGTTCAGTCCACTATAACTTTCTCTTCCTGTGCTTCTCACTGGCTCATAGTCATTTTCAGGGCCCAGTCTGCATATCAGGAGTAAAGAAATTGTATTTTATAAGGCAAAAAGAAATCAGAACAATACAATTGTATATTTGGAGGAAGGCACTATACAGACCATCCTCTCCACTTCTGCAATCATAGAATCATAGAGTCTTTGGGTTGGAAGGGACCTTTAAAGGCCATCTAGTCCAACCCCCTGCAGTGAGCAGGGACATCTTCAACTCGATCAGGTTGCTCAGAGCCCTGTCCCACCTGACCTGGAATGGTGCCAGGGATGGGGCGTCTACCACGTCTCTGGGCAACCTGTGCCAGTGTTTCACCACCCGCACTGTGAAAAATTTCTTCCTTATGTCTAGTCTGAATCTACCCTCTTTTACTTTAAAACCATTACCTCTTGTCCTATCGCAACACACCCTGCTGATAAGTCTGTCCCCATCTTTCTTATAAGCCCCTTTTAAGTTCTGCAATGCTTTGTCCTTTTCATTTTCCCCTCATACTTGTCTTCGGCGTTCAGTCATCTTCCTTCCTTTTAGAAGCACCAGCAGCTATCAGTAGCATCCGTGGAAACATATTGGTGTCTGGAAATAAATGAATAGTTTTTCCTCAGCCTCCTTTTCTGCCAGGCTACATAGGGCCCCAACACATGAAACTATGTCCTTGCACACTGAGCATCAATGTTTCAATCTTTGCCCCAAGATCTTCAAAAACCATGTGTGTATCTCTGAGAGTAGTCTGGAAAATATAAGCAGTTCAGAGTGAAGTTGGAGTCCTTTTCCTGCTGTGAGTCATACCAGGCTGTGTATGAAGTACTTGATTTCAGAAGGGTTCTAGTCCTGTTCTGTGTGCATCTATCACTCTCCTTGATTCAGTCGAAATTGAACATAGCCTGGAAATTAGGACTTTAATGATTTCTTTCGAAATTGCTTTCCTGGAAATTTAGCAAGTTCAATAAGCTATGAGATAAGTTGGAAGTACCTGAAATCAATTTATCAAATCATAGTTTAATCCAGAGGCAAGAGTCAAACTGCTTATTTTAAGCAGGTGATTAATAAATACAAATCTGGGTACCTGTAGGTTCATTGACCCCAAATTTGAACCATTAACCCTCCTTCTCATCTCTGAAGATATAATAATTCATATGGGTTTGAGTCAGAATTCCTGCCTTTTTGACAGAAAACCAACTGTTGACCTTGGCTAGAGCAGAGTTGCCACTTGCTGCAATCAGTATGTTTGGAATTATGAGTGATACCTACTTTACATGATGCTTACATTATGTTTACCATAGCAAATGTAGGGAAAAATTGTTAGCAATTATATTTAAGTTTTTGAAAGTTCTGTATATCATAGTACTCTTAGTGAAGCAATGATTCAAGCAAGCACAGAGGAACATCTGGAATGCGTCTGGTGCTGGAGTTTTCTACTGTGACTTCATCATGTTGCTTCTGTAGGAATGCAGCAGAATAATAGCTGAGACAAGTTTGTTGAATAACCTATTAAAATCCCAGATGTGAACATGTGCTTTGCATTTTTATAGATCAAAATAATGCTGTTGTGGGTATAAAATTTCATTTTACAACTCTGTCTTTTCCTGAAATCTCCCTTCAAGTTATTGTAAATGTTTTTGTAGATGGAAAAAGAATCTAAACTCTAGGTCACTGTCCCACATTTGGATGCAGTATTCATTTTGTGAAGGGGGATTTAGAATCTTCAGCCTATAGTAAAAAAAAACATTATTTCATAAGATGCTAATCACATAAGTGCTTGGAAAGTCAAGTTCTTAATGTTTCCTCATATTTACCTGATGGCTGCCCTATGTAAAAGTCTATCTTTTATTGCTAGGTACTAGATGCTAGGTTCTAGAAGGTTTGGATACAAAGGTCATCTTGAAAAAAGTAACAAAAACTAACAGTAAGCACTGCAGTGAGAAATCATATGCAGATATGCAGTGTAATAATGGTGTCTTTTTGGTCTTAACATTAGTCTTAGCATCAAGAAAGTGATGATCTGGACAATTTTCTAGATCATTTAAATGGTTGTATGACAAGATAGATCTAGCTGTGTTTGTTCTGTGTTTTCTTTGGGCTTGAAAATCCCCTTAAATGGTCATATTCTTAGAGGAAGGCATTCAAGGTTTAAAAGATGTGGCGATCTGCAAAAGTCAGTGTGACGAAGAATTTTACAGGCAGGCAATTTCATTGCCAAGTTGGATTAGGAACTGAGGCAGAACTCAGAAGGAGAATCTGATTCTGTGACAAATTCCTATTTCGAGAGCAAAATGATTGTTAGCATATAAGCATAAGTATCACTATAAAAAAAGCATACACTAATTACGAAAAAATTACATCTAGGGATTATTTTATGCAGTGATGAAACCACTGAACAACATTTGAGTTTTGTGTCATTCAGGTATATTCAGAAAGATGGCATACATAATTTCTGTGTGTTCAGCAAAATTTATGTTAATTGATAAGTTTCTACAATAAATTTGGAACATCATAATAAATCTTGAGAAATTCTAGGTGACATTTAAATTAGTTTTAAAAAGGGATGGTATCCTTGAATTATTTTACCTTCAACATGTCAGAGATTCTTAAATTTTTTATGTGCCAGAGACTTTAGTTACCAAAACTGTTCTAGACTGTAAGGTAATTTGAAGCTGATTGTGTCACAGAGAGCAGAGGGGCAAAGCCTAAGCTTCAGAAATAACAGGCAGTTGAGTTGATATAATCTGTTCTGATGATTCTAGTGACTGATCCATGTACATACTGCACGGAAAGATGGAATAACCCACTCCCTGTCAATACGACTGGGAGAATCCGTCCTGACAATAATGATCAGTCTAATCCCGAGTCTGCAAACAGTCATCTAAAATAAAGAATTCTCTCTATTGTGTATGAGAACTGACCCCATGTAGGCCGTCCTGCCCAGTGTCTTGTCTCCAGATGTGGGCGGTCTGATGCTTCAGGAGGTGTTTGGAGTCAAGGACAAAGTTGAGGACACATTATCCACATAGATGTCAGCAGGAGACATAGTGCTGACATCATAGTATGTTGCATATATTCTATATTAGTATGTAAACTATTCCACTATGTTGTGATCAAATATTCCACTTGGGATTTTCTAAAGCATACAAATGAATTAGAATTCCAACTGCCATAAGTCATCAATAGGATTAGTGCTGGTAATTCCTGCAGGTTCTTTGGAAAAAGTCACACATGCACCAATCATAAGATTCTCATTTAGACTTTTTAGTCATGTACTTTTTGAGTAACCACTGAAGTGGATAAGTATTTGCACAGTAAGGGACTTAGATAGTACATACTTAGAAGCAAGAGACTGATCTCTTGGTTATTCTGGAAAAAATAGCTAGAAATTACAACTTTCTGTAAATAATAACAGTTTACAGATATGGGGTGGTGAAGTCTCATAACTGACATGACCACAACAGAATAGTCTTGCAATCTTTGTCTTCTTAATCATGTAAATCCCAGCAGATTAAATGAAAATTGCACCTTTATGTAAATTTTTAGTTGGAAATACATAGTTCTTCTGCAGGAATAAAATCTGAAGTAACACAATAGACATTGCCATACAGTATCTTGCTCTAAGAATTATAATTTCTTTAACTATTAATTCATTTTTAATGGTAATAGTAAATTTGTTAAAGTAGTAGTAAATACAAAATTATTGTAAAACATAAATAAATAAAAATATAAAATATTTTACACCTATTGTTATAGGTGTGAAAGTCTGAGTTTAAGCATGAATCTATAGCATCATCTTGCTTTAGCATAAAAAAGGTCTTAAATATTTGCCTTCTTTTCCCAAACAATCCCAGTAGATATTTAGCTTTTGGGATGCTCAAAACACCCTGAATTTCTTATTTGTTATCACACCTTTTCCCTTTTATTATCAGCATGAATTTCCAAATTAAACTGGAAGAATCTCATACATGAAAAATGACTGTAAATCTATTTCCGAAGTTTGTGCATGAAAACATACCAAGCATTCAAGATTAGGATTTTGAGATAATTATATAGGCATTTGAATAAAGTGTCAAGACCTAAATATATATATTCAGCATCCAGTAGCTTTCATAGAGAGCAAAGAACTCTAGACAGCATTTTTGAAAATATGACTACTGGGTAAGATATATTAAAGGACTCTGAACATTTTAGAAGATGTCCAGATGCAGATTAAGAGCAGTGAGCTCTTAGATTTTGTTCTTTCTGTGCCTAAAATATATAGTGACCTTTTGCTTGACTTAAAAATTTTATTTTGTCAACTGTGCAGCACTGCCGCCATGGAATTTGTGTGAGCAGAGAAATGGAGACGCGTCCTGTAGACGGAGAATGGGGACCATGGGGACCTTATAGCTCATGTTCAAGAACTTGTGGAGGTGGAATCAAGAGCACCACCAGGCTGTGTAATAGACCAGAGTATGTTTTCATTGTGTTTTATGTTAGCGCATAATGATATTACGATATAATGGATTGGTTAAAAAAAAATGAAGGTATTGTGGGTTGCACAAATTAGTTCAAAGCACCCATAAAAAAATGCTTATTTCAGCCACGTTTGAAAAGAGAGATGAGACTACAGACTTGAATATGCAGAGAACTTTTAGATTGCTCTTGTATTTCAACTATATAATTCATGTTTATAGATATGTCTAAAGACTTATTTTGTCAGGATCTTTTTTTCTAGCTTTACTCTAAATACTGAGGGTTTCTCTAAACATTGAGATGTTTTCTCTGGAGTAAAACCTGCAAAAAGAAATAGATGTTTTCCCTTGTGATCTTTTTAGTGAAACACTTGATTTGCTTTGATTTAAGGCTTTTTCACATCACCACCAGTAGCACCCACAAGAAACACTGGTTACAGCAGAGTCATTTGCAATTTACCTTTATAATGAGAAACTTCCATTGACTGAATAATTAAATGTGTGTTTCATTCTCTGTAATAAAAGTCAATGAAATCTTTACCCTTAACTTCTCCAGAAGAAGAACTATAGCTGCAGCATGAGTAGTTTTGTTTTTTTTCTAGGAAGTCATGTCATCTTGATATTACCGGTGGGATAAATGAACCTCAGTCAAACGACTCCAGGTTATTTTATTTTCTCTGATGAGTAAGAGGTGGTAGACTAGATTCCCACTTGATGTGCCTCTGTCAGTCTGTAGCATCTGATAGTATCAATATGCCATTGATTTATTCTTTTTTTCTGCCCCAGGAACCTACTAATACTGAATTATTTTGTAGCAGGGTTCATAACAGTTAGGAAATGTATTTTAGACTTTAGAATAAATTAGGTGTTTTCCATAATTTTCCCTTTTTAGTTCTTTTGACCCCCAAACTGAATCCAATATTAAGACTACAGAAAAGAGTGTGTCAGCTCCTAACTCTGTCTTCTTTGTCACTCTGTAAAATGATAATTTCAAATTACTGAAGGAGGAGCTGCTTCTGTAAAGATAGGGCTCTAATCTCAGCTTAATTCATAAAAGCATTAGTTAATAATGTTTTTTCTGAGGTAAAATAAATACAACTATAAAAGAAATAAAAATGTAATACACATTAATAAACATCCATAGCTTGATTACCACCTACCTCAGCAGTAGTATTTTACATGGACTTTTTATTTTCTTCACGTGGGTATAAATGTATGCGCAGTTGCAATAGAAGATAAGAGTGTGTGTGGAAAAGTCAGTAACAGATGGCACAATGCTGTATGAGATTTTCCCCTTTAGATCAGCAGCTCAAGCCACTTTTCATGGAAAACACCAATTTTATAAAACTGAGTGTGGTTTACATTTACCTATTTTTGTTAGACCAAGAAATGGAGGAAAGTACTGTGTTGGCCGCAGGATGAAATTTCGATCATGTAATACTGATTCATGTCCAAAAGGCAAAAAAGATTTCCGGGAGCAACAGTGCTCTGAATTTGATGGCAAACACTTTAATATCAACGGTCTTACGTCTGCTGTTCGCTGGCTTCCAAAATACAGTGGTAGTAAGTAATTCTGAATTTTTTCAATTGATGAAATAAAAATGTTACTTTAATTAAAGTTTTAAAACAGACAAGAAACCTGTTGGATTTTCTTTCCAGTTTCTATGAAAGATCGCTGTAAACTTTTTTGCCGAGTTTCTGGAACAACTTCCTACTATCAGCTGAAGGACAGAGTTGCTGATGGTACTCCCTGTGGAGCAGAAACCAATGACCTTTGTGTTCAAGGCTTATGCAGGGTATTTAAATCTAAACTTATTAATTATTAAAATCAATTTTAACAGATGGTAAAGTAGATATTAAATATTAATCCAAATAACCATTACTGAAAATATGTGAAGCAAGATGTTTTGAATTTACTTCAGTTAATTTTAATTCCTACCAAATTAAAGATCTGGAAATGGAGGCAATTAAGTGAAGAACATACAGTTGAATCTGAAGACCCACAGTCTTTCCTCATATGTGAGAGAGATAATATTGTCCAAGTAAGCAGAGAGAAATTGATCCAAAACTGGCATAAAGGGAGGAAAGAAGCCTGCTGTGTTTATTGCCATATTTCTGCTATCAAAGAAGTAAAAAGGTAGAAAATCCAAGGGTAGATTACGTATTTATTATTTCTTTGCAAAATCAGAAGGAAATGACCCAGTCATTTCTTTGTTTAATAGCAGTTATGGAAATGCAACAGGATTTTGTTGGGAGAAGCAATATGCTATGCTATAACAACTCAAAACTTCTTTGTCAAGCCCAGGTTGTTTTGCTGGTTGCAGTGAAACTGAGTAAATTCAGGATGAGGAGAAAATATAGCCTTTTTTGTAGTGTTGATCATGAGGAAAGAGAAAATGCCATAGAATTGTCCTGTTTATAATAATTTTTTAAAAAAAGAAAGTTTAAGTAAAGATACATAAACAAAAATTGTGCTTATGGTAGTTTAACCAGCATAGTCTATGTGTATTCCTTTGCTTCTTTTGCAGTAGTGACAGACTTTAAAAGAATTGATGACCATGTACACATACATACTGCTTTTAGGATTCCAAGACTTTTTAATGTAAATATAACTTAAAATTTATACACTGTTGATTTTTTAAATACAAAATCTTTACATACTCTTATGTATTCTTATACAGTTCTTGATACATTAAGTGTATTTGGATTGTACATCCTTAGTACAGCAGCACTATGGTATTTTGCCCTGACATCACAGCACCCAAAAACATAAAAGGCTTTTCATGAATTGCCAAGACCAGATATATACAGTGAATAAGAATATTTTTGGGGAGTGGGAAACTTACATTATTTGTTTTCATTGTTTTACATTGGGATGAGTGACACAGGGCTATTTTTTTTTTTTTTTTTTTGTAGCAAGCAGGCTGTGATCATGTTTTGAATTCCAAGGCAAGGAGAGACAAATGTGGAATCTGTGGTGGTGATAATTCTTCATGTAAGACTCTAGCAGGTACTTTCAACAGTGCTCGTTATGGTATGTTTGGTTTTTTAAAAGTCTTCATGCACATTTCAGTGTGGCTTAGAAATTATGTTTTATATTTGAGGAAGTGGGATTTCAGTGTATGTTTTTAGGGCCTCTGTGAACAAAAAATATCTCTGTTTTTCTGTCACATGTGCCCTCTCAAGGATGCAGGGGTAAACACTGTGACACGCTGATGTATTCAAGGGGAAAAAAAGAATCAATCTGCTCTAAGGTCAAAACAAAAGACACGAATAAAAGATATGAGGGTAAAAGTACTTCAAAGGGAAGAATGCTTCCTGCTTTGCACTTTGCATTCTCTCATCTGAAACTATGCAGCTGAAAGACTTACTCCAATGTCTCATTTTTGTTGTGTAAAGAGATAGCAAGAAGTATGTGGTGTGAGCAGCTGATGAGATTCCTTTTTTCCTATATTGAAAAAAAGAGCCTGTGAAATGTGAGCCTTCTCTTTCCAGAGAACATGGGTAGCGACATTTATGTTCTTTCCTCTTCATTGGCATGTAGTGAATGAGAAACTTCTGAATAGCCCTGGTAATTCCTATTTCTTTGATTTAGTTTCTCTAATAGAGCTACTGATAGTTCTTCTATACGTAGTTCTTTCTGGGAAGTATGGAGAGACTATTGTATGTGTGTAGCAGTGCAGTTAAGTAGTTAGAGCATAGAACATAAGGACAAAAGTCTCCAGGTTAATATCAGATTCCTAAAGGATCCTTCATGCTGCTTCACTGATTGAAAGAGACCACAGGCAAAGTGAAAATGATACTTGGAGAACTGCCAAATAGGATCTTCATAGAACAAAAGAATTGCTGGTTGAAGAGAGAAGTATGCCCAGTATCCTGTTGGATTTTTTTTTTCTGGCAGAGGGCTTGCACTAAGCAAAAAGTACCAAAAAACTTAAAGGTAGGCTACAGCTACTCTTCCCATACAAATACACGTAACTTTTCTTGTGTTTGTCCTGAGAAGTTGGAAGAAGACACAATCAGCTATTAGAGGTTTTCTGATTAGGATTTCTGATTTATTATAGTGTTTCTGAAAAGTGGTCAAAACACTAAAGGAAAAGAATGTATTATTTTGATAATTCTGATTAAAGGACTGTCAGTGTTTTTGTTTTCCACCACTATGAAAGATCTTTCTGCTTATAGGTAGCACATGAATTCTGTCACAAATTTGATACACGTGACCATTACATCAAGCTGCCATTTATACAAATATGGTTGAGACCTGCTATGCAGGTTTTTTATAGTTTCCTCCCACATTTTGTCTTCTGTCATTCTATTAGCACAAAGTCTTCAGCATGTGAGATGAGGGGCTTTCTTGAGTGTGTTTTGGTTTTCTTCCCACTATGTTGGAAGATTGACCAAACACTCTGTATTTATCCAGAGCTTGCAGTGTGTCAATTTGCAATTGCGGTGCTGCCCCCAGCTGGTGAATGTGATGGACCTGTGATTAGATTATATGTTCGTTTAAATGCACAGCATAGTTTTACTAGTTAAAAGCACTGTGAAGTTAATGAATTATGAAATTGAAAAGGATATTGTCATTTAAATTTTTACCCACAGAGGTGAGTCAACTAACTGAAGTTAAATCATGGCAAGACTATTAAACACAGCAAATAAGTGGAAAAGTTAGCAGAGATTATATTAATGCTTCAGATTGTATGTTTGTGGTTATTATTTGTTTCCAGTTTGCCATACTCAGTTTTTCTTAGACGTAAGAATCCTTTTGAATTTTTGATTAGCACCTGTGAGAAATAGCTTTTTTTTTTTTAGCCTATGCTAAAATGTAGATCTTGATGCACCTTGTATAGTTACTGTACGACAAGGCTACCATAACAGTACTTGGAGGTATTACAGGAAATGATGGCTCATTTGTGAAGCATTTGTATTTTGAAGGGAGCACACTAGGGTAACATTTTAAGTAGCAGAATGTGGATCAAGCATGGCTAGCTTGTCTGATATATCTACCTATGTGTATGGCCTGCAACACTGCAATATTGGAGTATTTAGGACTCATTCTTTAGAGTGCTGTCATGCAATACTCCTGTGAGGTAGAGAAAAGCTAACCGAATTGTATAAACAGGGAGTGGAGATATTTCATGTTGAGTGACTTATTCAGACTTGTATAAAGGTTTGGTGGTTAAATTGTGAGGAGCTATAATGTTTCCTGAGTCCTGCTTGATATACCTGACTGCTTTCGAGGGTAGTGCTGCTCTCTAGAGATTTTACTGAGTAAGTTGAACTCATGTTATCGGTAAAGAATTGAATTCATATTTCTGAACACAGGAATGAATTTTAATGAGTTATGAAAATAAAAGTTCAGTTCAACTGATGGAAAAACAAAATAAAACAAAAACCAACAACAAAGGAATTTAGTATGCATGAAGATATTCACATTTCCGTCCTCAAACATGACAGCATTCAGGAGTGGTTGTCACTGGTGCACTGCAGGGTTTTGTGAATAAAACTAGTTAAACTTTTGTTCATATTTACTAGTATTTGACTATTTCAGAGGAGGGCCACAAAAATGATCTGAGGGATGGAACACCTCTCCTATGAAGAAAGGCTGAGAGAGTTGGGGTTGTTCAGCCTGGAGAAGAGAAGGCTCTGGGGAGACCTTATTGAAGCCTTTCAGTACCTAAAGGGGGCTTATGGGAAAGATGGGGATAGACTTTTAGCAGGGCCTGTAGCGATAGGACAAGGGGTAATGGTTTTAAACTAAAAGAGGGCAGATTTAGACTAGATCTAAGGAAGACATTTTTTACCATAGGGGTGGTGAAACACTGGCACAGGTTGCCCAGAGAGGTGGTAGATGCCCCATCCCTGGCAATGTTCCAGGTCAGGTCGGACGGGGCTCTGAGCAACCTGATGTAGTTGAAGATGTCCCTGCTCATTGCAAAGGGGTTGGACTAGATGGCTTTTAAAGGTCCCTTCCAACCCAAACTATTCTATGATTCTATGATCCTTCTGTACAGAATTAATTTGTGAATAATTACATTGCAGGTTACAATGTTGTAGTAAATATTCCCAAAGGAGCAACAAACATTGATATTCGTCAGCACAGCTACTCAGGGAAACCAGAAGATGACAACTACCTTGGTAAAAGCCTCCTGTGTATAACATTGATGGATAGTTTTTGTGCTCTTGCCAGAGGTCTGCTCTAGACGTGTATTATCAGAAGTCTAATAAAGTCTTTAGAGCAAATATCTAATTACATTATGTCATCATTTGCCTGAGTCTCTCTGTAGATACTAGTTTTCAGAAAAATGAGTGAGATGTTGTTGGCTTTCTAATACTTAAATGTGTGTGTTCTTTTGTCAGAGAGTAGGAATTATAGCACATTGCATCATTTTGTCAAATTTTTAACTTTATTGTGGCAATGTTAATTAAAACTCCACAAGTGAACTCAAGAATAATGCAAGTATTTGTGGTTTCAAATCTTGGAAGCATACATTTTGTTTATCTCTTTTTCTATTATGTCTGAGTATAAAGATCACATGTTGATAGATTTGCAAGTATGTGAGAGGAACAAATAATTCATAAGCACATTGTACCAAAAATCTTGGTTGTTCTATTTCACAGTACTTAACATTATATCTGAAGTGCCTGAGAGAATATTGGTGCATATTTTCCTTCTGTCTCTTCTTCCATTACCATCCTACTCAACAAACTTAGGAGTTCTCAAAATATTTTCTTTGACACCTGTTGCCCTGTTGTTGCACGTGCATCTTGCAGAACACAGAAACAACCCTCACCTCCTGACACTAGCTGCCATTTCAACTATAGTAATACCTGAATATCATGCCTTTACTAAAAATTTTACTTTATTTTTCAATTTAATTTTTAACTTGTTATTTGTCTTTATTATTGTAAATTGGTCATTATATCAAATCATTATTATAAATGCTTAATAATTTACTTCATTTTTATTTTAAAATTTACTTTTAAAACTCACTTCACTAAAAGTAGTTCTAATAAATACAGGAACGTGGGCTGTAGAATAGTCCAGAAATACAGATAATTCTTGTTTCCTTCTACAGTAGCAGAACCTAACCAAATTTAAAAGTGATGACTGCGGTCAACCCTTCATCAGAACAAGTATTATTAAAATTGTGTTGTTAATGCAGAGAAAATCCATGACAGCTGCTCAGGTGATAGTTACTGATGGTTAGGATTGAATTAATGCATTAGAAAATGTTTGATACAACTTTAAAGTATTACACATGGACTAAAATAAAGCTAAGTGTTGATGAGAAGATATATTATTGAGTTTTTATTGATAGAACCTTTTGATTAAATAGATGCTTTATTTCCAATATTTTATTTTACTTATAGCTTTATCTGATATTCATGGAAATTTTATCTTGAATGGAAATTTTGTTGTAAGCATGTCAAAAAGAGAAATCAATATACAAGGAGCCATTTTTGAGTACAGTGGTTCAAACAATACGATAGAACGAATTAACAGCACTGATAGAATCGAAGAAGAGCTAACCTTACAGGTGCATGTTTACTTTTTTCATAAGTTTGAAAATTTGCTACATGATCATTATGTTCATAATTTTATGTTCAAATTCACTGAAAAACAGTTATCGTTTTATCTCAATTAAGGTTTTGTGTGTAGGGAACTTATACAACCCTGATGTGCGTTATTCATTCAATATCCCAATAGAAGACGGAAGTGATCTGTTTACATGGGATCCTTATGGACCCTGGCAAGACTGCAGCAGGATGTGCCAAGGTACTGTGAATTCCTTTGTCACCAGAACCAAAGGCCTGATGGCATTTAGGAAGGGACTAATCTTAAGTATTCAGATTTTTCACCCCCTACTTGTAAGGAAGAAACTCAACACTCAGTAGACTTGAGGTGCACAGAGCCTTTACGGGAAGAATGGCTTCTGATTTTTTTTTTTCTGCTATTTTCAGTTTCATGCAATGCAATTCTATATTCAAAGCTACATTTGTGTTCCTTTCTTTTGTAGTCATAGGAGTGTTTTGTTTTAAAAAAAGAGTTGAATCAAGTCTAATGCATCCTTAGAAAGCAGTATTGTGTATCCACTAGTATTAGGGTTGTGTTATTTCCAGATGGTCAGTGACTTTCCTAGTATCTTTCCTATATATCTATTTGTCTTTTTTTGTTATCTGCTACATGGCATGAAGCTATTTAAAGATATATTTTACAATTTTTTAACTGTTACTCTATAGGCCATTCCAGTGTAAAAATAAAACTTCAGTATGTATGAAGTGTATATATAAAGTGTACATACATACAGATTTTTGATAGATGCTCCTATTAGCAGGTGCTAGAAATGCCTGTAGGTATGTGATGGCGAGTTTCTTCTGGTTTTGAGTCATGCTGCAGACATGCTCACGTGCTAAAGAAGCAGCGCATCTGTCAACTGTGGTACTTCTCCCAGCACTCCAGATCTTTTAGGTATCCTGTAATCAAATTTTCTGCTTCATTAAAGAAAGGGATCACAATCTCTAAATTAACATAGTGGTTTGAAAATTTGGTAATTAGCAAAGGACAGAAGTGATGCGTTTGGAATTCTTAACCTGATGAGTAGATGGACTGTTGCACTTTTGCAGTTTTCTGAAAGTTGGTATCCTCATGAGACCACTGTAGTACAGCTGGGAGATGGCAGCAGTGACTGGGACAAGGTTGTTCTCCACCTGAAATGTAGTCAGCTGCACAAAGCAGCATGTTTTTGCAAAATCTGCTCTATACAACGATTAGTGTTAATGGGGTATCTCAGTTAAATTCCTAAATGATAAATGGAATCCATTAGTGTAAAAAGGCACTCTTATTTTAGCCCTTTATTAGCTTTTTTTGGTTCCTTTTCAAGGTATTCGAAGAAGAAGAATGACATGCATACGTAAAAGTGATCATGTGGTAGTGTCTGATCAAAGATGTGAACTTATACCCACCGTACCGGATGCCTTTGAGGAGTGTAATACAGAGTGTGAATTAAGGTAAGAAGAGGTTCAATAACTGATGGAGCTGTTGTGGTCTTACATATTGCTATTGATAGAGATTGAAACAAAGTGACTCAGATTTCTATCCTCCGTCCCTCCACCCCGCTTTACCTCCCTCATCCTTCACGTCTCTCCTTCCTTTCCTCAAATCTATTGGTATAATGGGTTTATAGATTTTGTTTATATCTCTGAATCTAAGTAGAACTAGTGTACTTTCTAATTTTTATTGGTAAAGTACAAAGTCTTTTGTTAGGATTGTGAATCTGTTCTATATATCCTGGTGCAAAAAAATTGTATTGCTGGGTACATTTTTCACCAGAATTGTACCCACAACTGGAACTAATCTAAGACAGACCTGTGTTTTTGCACTCCAAGAAAGCCCACGCTGAAGTGTTCAGAGAATGAGCAGTTAGAATTATAGCTTACATTTTTCAAAGTCAACTAGGGGATTAAGACAAAAGATCCTTTAAATTTAAAAAGATGTTTTTAAGCTTAGGAGTAAAATTCTTTTATTTTGCTTTGAAAATTCCAGTCATGAGATAGATTTTACAGTTTCATCTGTTCCCTAAAATGAATATCTATATTTACATGACAATTCGTGGTAAATTCTCTGAATGCTTTATTCACTGTGGTCTTATTTTTTAAACCATAGTTAGCTTTCTATAACAGTTTATCTTTGTAGGTGGCACAATGTCGGCAAAAGTGACTGCACATCGAAGTGTGGCCCAGGGTATCGGTCTATAGAGATCCACTGCATGAAGTACTCTGTTGCAAAAGGACTCAGTGTTCCAGTGGGTGATAAGTACTGTGCTGATCAGCAGAAACCACCAACCAGAGAGCCCTGCCATGGTGACTGCCTGTTAGCAAGTTGGCACTACACAGAGTGGTCAGAGGTACAAATTCAAAACATTATAATTGTACCATTATAGTTCTGGTTAGCATTCATATAAAATTTTTATTTCTATATTAATTTGTTTAAGTAACTAAAAGAAAATGTATGAGAAATGGAGTTGTAGGAGGAGCTAATACCAATCTTTATATTTCAGCAACTTCCTGATTTTTTTAAGAAACTTCACATTGTTTGCAGCTTGGTTTTGGAAGTCAGCACAGAACTGGTGGTTAAAGGTGTATGTTTTATTTACAATCTTAATAATTTACTTCTGAGAATATTCTGGAGAAAAGGAATAAGTACAATTTCAGCTTTAATGTTCATTAAAGAATTTTATCTTGGAACTACTAAACAAAGTGCCAAATTTATCTCACGTGAACATATTAGCAGTCTGTGGATTAAATGTAAGATACATTTTTCTAAGACAAGTCTTTCACTTTTAAGTCTTACAGTATATTTTGACCTGGTTTTATTGTGTTTCCTGTTTCACAATACTGTCTATACACCACAGTGTTCCAGGAGCTGTGAAAGAGGTGTCAGAACCAGAGAAGCTTTTTGCATGAACAATTTGGGTCGTCATCTTCCTGACAGAGAATGCCAGGAACTTCCAAGAGTTGTAACACAGAGTTGCAATGAATTCTTATGTCCAAGCTGGTCTGTTAGTGAGTGGAGCGAGGTAATGAACCATGTAAAACTTAGGACGCTTTTTGTCCTTGTCATTGATATTAAAATAAGCTACTTTAAGTGTTTGGTTTTTTTGTTCTGACTATTTTGGGGCACACAGTAATAACAATTCTGAAGACCTAGGATCTGGCTGATATATATCCCAGATGTACAAATGGCATAAGGACATCTGAAAAACGCACCTAGAATTTATTTTTCTCTGAAATTTTGTTACTTTGAAATGAGGTAGTGAAGCTACTTAAACTAAATCTATCTACAGTAATATGCATACCTTCCTTTTTATGAAGCAATTATATCCGTTTTATTATATATTATATGGGTATAAAAGAATCGTGGATAGTTTAAACATTTTTCATGTGAAAGCTGTGATATGTGCACTCATATTTTAAACAAGTATTCTTTATTCTAATGGAAATAAATGATCTGTACATAGGTCTCATGTTTTTGTAGCATTAGAAACTTAATGGTTATTCCTTTGTATTAGTATTTGGGTTGATATTTATGGGAAATGGAGAGCTCATAAAAGAACTAGTCTTGTTGGACTACTTACATTCATGGAATATTTTTGTTATTTATGTGATCTTTAGAATCTAACAGATTACTGAAAGAAAGTGAAGCCATTAATGCAGATTCATGTTTTTACAAATGGATGACTCTAATAATTTTACAGTGTCCTGTGACATGTGGCAAAGGAATGAAGCATCGTCAAGTATGGTGCCAACTTAATGATGAACAACTGAGAGATGATTTCTGTAATCCAAATGATAGACCAGAATCAATAACACAGTGTGAACTTCATGAATGTGCATCTTGGCAAGTAGGGCCTTGGGGATCAGTGAGTACATAAGGATTCCTGGCTTCTTGTTTTCTAGTTCGGACTATGAGTGATCACAAAACAATACCTCTTAAATATTTTAATTGGATCTTAAGCAGTTACTTTAGTTGAATTGATTCACGTGTGTGTTTGCTTCTATTGGTTATCTAAGCTGTAATTTAGGAACACCAACATATAAGTTAAATGCCTAAAATAGTCATTGATCCTGAGCCTTAATAGCAATGATGCTTTTACACATCAATGTATTACATCTCCAAAATAATGAAATGTAGACAGCAAACTGTTCAGATGAATCAGACAGGTAAAAGACCAAATATTTATAGGTATGTGGGCATATTTAAGTGGTAGCTTTAATTAAGATCATAGAAGTGTATATGCTAACATTAGCAGCCAAAAAGACTTAGTATTTTGTTGTTATGTTTTGTCTTGACCTTCAATGATAAAAGATCTGCTATCTATGTGAAAGTGCTGTTGAAAAATATGTTCCTGTGTGTAAGGATGCTCATCTAATGTATACCAGAGTGCCTTCAAAATTCTGAAAAAAGTGAATTAATTTGCAAAGGAAACCTTTGTCAGCAAATAGATGAGAATTAATTAAAAAATAATAAGATACTCAATTTCATGGAGCTTTCACAAGGTCAGGTTACTCAAACCAACAGAGGTGTTGGATTATTCATTTTTCTTCTTACATATAACCTGTTAGTAAAATACAGAATGAATATACCTTTGGAAATTAAATATATGATTAACTCAAACATTTATTTTGTATAGAACTTCTCTCATGTAATTTTTTTTTACGTTAGAGATAACCACACTGTTGTCTAACATAATGTTGAATTCCTTTTGAGAATCTTTTGATCACAAGGATCAAAACAGCTTTCTACCCCTACAAGCTAAATGTAAAAATGAAATAAAAAATTAATTCAGTCCCATGACATAATTCTTCTGAACAAAAAATCACTGTGTATGGCCTTGCTGGAACAGCTTGTACAAGCAATTGTCACTGGAGCAGAGCTTTCCATTGCAGTTTTTCTACTGTACCATTGGGTAATAGCTATTGATGACCTGGGTTTTTACCAGTATTTGTGCTTGAGCCACAAAATTTATAGGATGGGATTTATGTCATAATATTTTCAGCCATTTAACATTTTAGGTGCTGCCTTTGAGTGTGCTCTTCTCAAACACTATAGTGAAGGGAAAGACATTTAACAGCTGCAGTTCGTGATTCATTTGGAAGCCACCTCTTACTCCCCGCACACCCCCCTCTCCCCCACTTCCTCCATCCCAGTTTTTATTGCTGAGCATGACATTATATAGCATGGATTGTCCCTTTGATCAGTTTGGGTCACTTATCCTGACCTTGTTCCCTCTTGATCTCCTGCCCACCTCCAGCCTACTCATTGCATGGGATAGAAGGGGGAAAAAGAGAAAGCCTTTATCCTGCAAAAGCACTGTTCAGCAATAGCCAAAATACTGGTGTGTTATGAACACAGTTTAAGCACCATATGGTCTGCCATAAATAAAGTTAACATCCCAGTAGTCATTCCTATTCATTCTAGAAAGAGTTTTAAAATAGAAAATGTAATTAAAAATTAGATTTGATTATAAATAGCGCTATTTCAAGTGTGTGAAATTGTTGACTTTAACAGTGTGCTGTAACGTGTGGACGCGGATACCAGATGCGTGCAGTCAAATGTGTCACTGGGACTTACAGAGTTATTTTGGATGATGACAGGGAATGTAATGCTGCTACTCGTCCTAGAGATAACCAAGTAAGTTAAAAAATACTTTTCAGTTGATTGTACATTTTAGTTAAAAACATCTAAATAGAAGTGTTGTTTACTGACTCTGAGGGAACTTGCAGGAAATGAGTTCTAAAATCAGAAAAAAATACCAAAATTTTTTTTTTCCCTAAACTTCAAATTTTGCCAGAGAATTAAGTAAAAGAAGAGTAATTTGGAGATTGGACATTTCAAAATTTGGTATGTGACTGAAGGGGTCAAAAGGCCTTTGATTATTTGAGCAGGGAGGGAAGCTCCAACATGTAGGGTATTATAAGGAGACTGCTTGCCGTGATGCTTAGTAGTAGCACCTGACTGGCTTGGTATTCTCTAAAATTCTGCTTGTATACAGTTCTTAACAGAATGACATGGTTACTTGAAGAAAGCTTCAGTTGTTGGAATAATACTAATTCAAAACTGTTTAGACATGAGTCATGATTCAGTATGGTATTAATATGGTTCTTTACCTTTTCTTCTTGTCTCAGTTTACTTACTTCATCAGTTCCCTTAATTTAAATCTATCATTTTCCAGAAGAAATTTTTTTAATGTAGTCAGTGGCTTTACCTTTAACTAAAAGCAATTGGTGTCTTAGGTGCTATGTATTAATGTGTTTATCTGGCCACCAGATTGATACATCTCATTTATATCCAGATAAACGTGTAACCACATACCTCCTTGAGGGCATTGTCATCTTCTTGTCTCAATTATAAGAGGAAAAAAACGATTCTGTGGTCCAGAGTAAACCAGTCACAAGTTACCAGCACTGTGATGGCTACTTGAATAAGATTTCAAAATATAAAAGCCAAGTATAAATTTATTTCCACTTACATATGAAAACACTGGGTTTGAGTATGCTGTATATTTTGAATTGTGGTACCTGTTTGGCTGTTGACTGAAACTGGGCAATTTTCTGTTCTCAGTAACTGAAGGTATAAAGGACATGACAGCACAGCCACTATCTTCACTCAGTCCTGTACTGCATGTGGCTATGAAACAGGACACAGTAATGTCTATGGCCCTTGTCTCCACCAGCAAGTTACCCAACACAGTTCTTTCTCAAAGTGCTAAAATTTTATTAATTATTAGTAATACAGTTTTAGCATCAAATAACATTTAGCATCAAATAAAACTATTCAATGAAAAGCCTTTGAATAACACCAGGGAAAAGTTAGGAGATGGTATTTACTTGTTAATAAATGCTGGCTTATTGTTATGGTAGGATCTAACTCTATGGGATCTATTTGCTTTACATTTGGCTCTTCCAAAATGTATATTTTGAAAGCTTTTTTCCCCTCACCCCCACAGGAATGTGAATTGCCCTCTTGTCCAGAAACTACAAAATTATGGACTACATCGCTTCCTCTAGTTCAGGTGGGGAAGGTGACCCAATGGAGATATGGATCATGGACCCCAGTACGTAATGTAATAGTGATCACATCTTGCAGAGCAGTTCTCCATTCCTTCACCCATTTTTCCATAAAGCTCTCACTAATATATTTTTCAGACTGAAATCTGCTTGGGATAAATTTTAAAGGAATTCAAATTTTTTTTTAAGAACCTGCTTTTTAAGGAGGAGGTAGACACTCCAAGAAAATTCTGTGTGCTTCAAATCTAGGCAGGGAAAATAAGGAGGGGAAAAGAACAGGATTCTAGGAGCTGGGGTTCTGAGCAAAATAGGTTTCATGTGATTGAGAGTTTGCGAGGAAGCATTTCCTTTTAAATAATTCATCCATTTCTGAGTATGGAGAACATCTTTCATTCTAAACTATTATTTAAATCTTTTATGTGAATAGCAATATTAAACAGTTTGGATCTTTAAAGGTCTAATTTTACATAATTTGTAAAATAAGCATTATAAAAAAATGGTTTCTACACAAACTTTGTTTAATGGAAGGGTTTTTGATTTGATAGTGTTGAAAATTAGTTTTACTTGAGAACAATGTGAAAATTAAAATCTTCTATTAAAATGTGGGTGTGTCTGTTAATCCCTTGAGTTTCTTAGCAAAGCATATAACATAATTATATCTTTGCACAACTATTTTAACTAAATAGCAGTAAAGAGTGCATAGACTGAGTCCTCTCAGAAACTCTTTACTAAATCCACCTTCTTCAGCTTCTCAGCTATAAAGACATCAGAAGAGGCTCAAAGGAATATGCTAATATAAACTAGAATGACAAATGGATTGTGAATATGAGTTTTTATTTTATCAGTTGATGTAAATATTGCATCACTGTGTAACAACTAAAATATTCTGGAAGTTACTCTCTAATGTTTCTATTGTTAATAAATTTAAAAATTGCCTTTGCAACTGTATGATGAGTCCATGTTACAGTTGAAATGCTACCTGTTCAGGTATGCTGAACTGCTTCTCAAGAACTAAGGTCATACAATTCAGTTCCAGGCCAACCAAAATTCTTAAGGCCTAAACCATCCAGCAATATTTCACTTTTCTTCCTGAATGCATGGCTCGATCAGTGTGAGCTGCAAATCTGGTTCTCAGTGTTTAATTCTAAAGTCAAGCTGATATTAAGCTATGTTAGTATTTTAGATGCTTGCATGATCTTGTTTTGGTCTCCCAAAGTGCGATGAGCTTGGATTGTTCTCTGACAGTGCTCTGCATCCTGTGGGAAGGGTGATCGTGCTCGCTATGTGAGTTGTAGAGATGCTCATGGAGGAATAGCAGATGAATCTTTCTGTGCTCATTTACCACGACCAGCTGAAATTTCAAGCTGCTTTAGCCCATGTGGAGAGTGGCAAGTTGGAAATTGGTCCCCTGTAAGTACTAATTATAATTTTTTTTTTAATGTGTCTATTTAGATTATTGGCCCAAATCTCTGGTTAGAATTTGGGATTTCATATTCTGTGCAAGTTTGATTGAAATTGCATCCCTTGAAAAAACAAAGTATATGTTTCTTATTGTCAAAAGTAAATATAAATGTCTTTGGTTATTGAGTATCAACATTCTATCACAAATGTTGTGTTAATTTTTGGTCAGTGTACAGTTACCTGTGATAGTGGAATAGTAACAAGACAAGTTATCTGTGTCAACTATCATCAACAAATCAACGAGAATTACTGTGATCCTGAAGGGCAACCTTCCAAAGAACAAGAATGTAACATGCCACCATGTCCACCAGTTTATCATGTTCTGAAAACACATGACCCTCCAAGCCATTTTCCAGAAATAGGTTACCCTCCAATACACCATCCACAGGAGAATATAAACCAGTGGAACCGTCCCTCTGGGGGAGGATATCAATGGAGAACTGGACCCTGGGGAGCAGTAAGAATTTTTTTTTAATATATTAATTTGTCCTCTCACGTGTGTGTTAACATTTCTAGAAAAGTTATTGCAGTACAAATTTGGTCAAAAGAGAAGCACATTTATTTTAAATATTATTATTCTATTAAATTAAAAATGTAATTTTTCTGTGATTTCAAATTCAAAATACTTCTACGTAGTAATTTTTATTTGAAAATTTCAGTTTTGAAAGATAATATTAAAAATAATAATTTAAAGTTGTTTTAACCAACATATTTTAGATTTTTCTGATTATGCAATGGTGCTACATATGTTCACATGTTTTGGTAGTGCTCTAGTACTTGTGCAGGTGGATTTCACCGTCGAGTTGTAGTATGTCAAGATGAGGAAGGAAGAAGTGCTAGTTATTGTGATGAGGCAACAAAACCTCCAGAGTCAAGACACTGTGATTCTGGACCCTGCCCACGATGGAACTATGGGAACTGGGGAGAAGTAAGATCATTTCACTTTCAAATGGAAACATTATTTACCACATAAGCTTAGAAATAGTAACATATTTACTTGACTGTGAATTGAATGAAACAACATTTTTTTACTTATTTAAAAAAATGAGTTTCAACTTGTTTAGATAAACTTTGTTCTTTGATCAAATCCGGAACTGTAGTGTAAATATGAGTAGTATAAATATACATTCAAAAGAAGTAAGTACTGTGTGAGGCTAAGGGTGTACAACACATAATTTAGCGTTGCAGTATCATCTTAAATCTTGACATGTACAAAACTGTTTTCTGTTACAAAATGATGAATTGTACACAGAAAGACCTCAATGTAATAGCTAGTCTAAGAAAAAAATGAGCGCAAGATGCTGCAAAGAAACTTTATTACATCAAATTTCGTAGGTACTGACTAGAATAACTGCATGTAGTGGTTTCTACTGGGTTGTAGTTACAAATTAGAAGTATGAAGATAGGATCATGCATCTAAAATGTGTGCCTGGGTTAGAATGTTTTGATGAGACATTGTACATTATTGGACAAAGAACAGTTTCTCCATGCCATGTGATGTCCTGTCTTGACCATGCATTCTTTCTCAAACAGTACAGAAAGAGTTAAAGCTGATTAGCATTCCTTCTAATCTAATCTCTTACGATTCCTGCCCTTTTCTTATTCTTGATACATCAATATCTAGAGTTGGGTAAAGAAGAAAATATGTGACTTTTTTATTCTTCTTTTTTTCGCCCCTCATTTTGTCCAGATTTAGCCATTTAGTTCTCAAGGCCAGTCTGAGTGTCATGTTTTTCCTTTCTGCAGACAATTGCTGCAGACAATTGGGATCTAGTTAACGCAGATGCTGCAGTTTTTGTCTAATTTAGAATCCCCTGAAATACAGTAAAAAGCTATAAACTATTGGAACATGCTCACTTTTGATCAGATTCTTTTTAATAGCTCATTAGAAATGAGAATTAGTATTTTTGTCTGGTTTTGCAGAATTACAGCAAAACTGAAACCCACAAAACACATATTTTACACTTGGTCTGTATAAGTCAGACTATGAGAAAGTGTGCCTAGTGCCTGAGTTTTCTCTTTTCTGGAAGGGAAAACTAGGTTTTGGACCAATTTCCATCTTTTCCTCCTATCAAAGAGAGCTATATATGCACATTTATTCTCACAAATGGTTACTCCTCCTTGATAGAGTAGATTCTCTGTAACTGAGACTTTTTGCAGAAAATCACTTGATAAACTATAAAAATGTAGCTTGGTAAATGATTTGGTGGGAGAATTGTTCTTTCTTTATATGACCATAAATTCTTATTCTTGAATTGAGTGTCCAGGCAATGTGAAAATAGGCATAGTAAATGATAGCATGTACTGATTATTGCTGTATCTTTTTCCTTTAGTAGTATGTGATGACTCTCTTAACAAAAATATTGCATATAAAATTCTGTATTTCAGTGTACTCAAACTTGTGGAGATGGAATAAAGACAAGACTGGTGATTTGTCAGCTTCCTACGGGCCAAATGTTGGGTGATCAAAACTGTGAAATTCTAGACAAGCCACCTAATATGGCACAATGTAATGTGCATTCTTGCCCTGGTGATGTTTCATGGCATCGGGGACCATGGAAATCGGTACGATAGCATTCACTAATATTTTTTGCTTTCTTGTTCTTTCTGTCACTCTATTTCCCCTTGCTTTTTAAAAATTATATCATTATTATTTTATTTGATAACAGTGAAATAACAATGCATGTGGAATATAGTCTATGTAGATTTATTAAGCAATTGTTCCTGCAGTCATTGAATTAAATGGGAAACAGCCATTTACTTCAGTGGGAACAGTATCATGCTCTGTAAAACATCATAGGGAATATTTTGAAAATTACCAGAAATCATGATAGCTGATAGCAATACCTAATAGGTTGTTCTGTTTTGAAGGGTTATGATTTGATCTGTGTTTAAATTTAAAAGTATATGCTGTAATTTATACTGTAGTATTATCTACATATTTATATTTGTAAAAAAAAAGCTTTTTAGTGCATAACTTTTTTTCTAATAGTATATTTAAGTATAAAATAACTCACACACATGTATATTACACTCTGTCATCAAACATTTTACTCCGTATTATGTGTACATTTGTGTATAAAAGTTTATATTTGTGGTTTTAAAACAGTGACTAATTAAAGCTGTCTATGTATAATTATGTATGTAACTCTAATATGTTATTGTCTACATGTCACTGTCTATTAATGTGTAAAGATGCCTACAGTAATCACCATTAATCTTTAAAATTGCCACTAGCAGATTATTAACATACTGAAGTAATCATAGCAAGCTCTACAATATAGAGTACATTATATTTCCCAAGCTGTGAAGTTGACAACAATATTTATTATTTTGCTCATTTCTAAGGAGAATAATGGCAATCAATCAAAGGAGACTGGATCCAGTTCTGGTTCCATCAAAGTCAGTTAAAAACCTGTCATTAACTTCCCTGGCAGATGGGCTAGGACAACAGTTCTTTTTTTTTTCTATTAGTAATACTATGTAATTTGGTTCTTTGAATTAACATGGAAACATTTTTTAAAATATTGTCCAATTTAATCTTTAAATAATTTATTAGTGTTTATATATTCTAATTTATTGCAAACGACTTTAAAATGAAAGTTTGAATTAATAATTCACCACAGTTCTTTCTTTCTTCCACTGTGCAAAACAGAGTTTTGGGTTTATGTTTTGCAGACACGAGTGTCTTATTTAGCCATTAGCCGAATAATTCGTGGTGACTTGCTAATGCTCAATTAATGTATGTACTTCAGGTGTTGAGAAGACAAGCAGGGCATTCAGCACACAGTTGCTTTTAAACTCAATGTTTGTTTTGGTTTTAGATCGAAAGTTAGTCACAGCCCGTTCATTCCCTTTGCAAAGATTTTCATGTTCGTTTATATCTCAATTTACACAAAAAGCCATTTTAATCCTTCAAAAGCTAGTTTAAAATGGAATGTAGTTGTCAGAATGAGTTTGTGGCCTTTGTTTTATATATGATTGCAAGCTCTGTGGTTATTCAGTAATAGTTTTCATTTCATCACACTGTCACATGGTGTTTGCGGAAACAAACATAGCAGATTCAGGAGATAAAAGCAGGTTCATATATTAAATATGCTGTCACTTTTTAGCAAATTAGTTAGTTTGAACGCTGCCAACACACAAACTTCAGTTAAATTTTGTTGCTGTTTAAACAGAGCAAAACCTATTCATTGAGGACGACTATTATGAAAGAGCAGTAAAAGCTTTAGTCACGAAAACACTGTTGTAGCCTGGGACAAATGGCTTTGTTTAGCCTTCACCTATGGGTGATTGACTAGTGGTGTGATAGGTTGGCTATAGATCATGGCTCTACCTATCTTATGCCTTTCTGGCATAGAATATGCCCTGATGTAGGGGACTGTTAATGACTGGACACTCTCTGCAGGCTGGAGTCATCAAACATGTCACATCTACATTTGTTCCCTTCTGTATAAAGATAGGAAGAACCAGATAAAACGTTATTTATATTTTTGATAAAAGTTTTGAGTAATATTTATGTGTCTGGACAGCAATGCATTACTGCTATATCTACTAGTGAGATTGCAATGTCAAAACTTAGGTAGGAACTGAAATGCACTGCTTGCCACATTTACTGTAACTTGCCATAATAGATTCTGCAATCTTTTACTTCTGGCATGCATGGCACAAATGTAATACATGGAGAGGGTGAGTAGAAGGAAGGGAATTTCTGAGCAATTGCTTTACCTGGAACAACTCCTTGACCTCCTTGAATATTGGCCCCATCTCTGGCCCAGCCAGTTTCAGAAATAGGTATCAAAATTGCTTAAAAAACCTCTTCCTCATTCTGATGTAGCTTTCTCTAAACCACGTCTGAACTAAAATCTTCACTCATGGATTATTCCAGCTTTTGCATAGTCAGATAGTCTCCTCTCAAATTTTAGATTCCAGCAGAAATAAATTCAGAAGTCAAATTAGCTAAGACTAATTCAGAATCCTGAGTCAAGAACCTGATCCAGCATGTAGAAGGATCGTTCTAGTTTATCGTTGTCAGTGTCTTTTATACGCTTTTCCATTTTGGGGTGTTCAACTCCTTCCACTAGCTATCACTATATATTTGAGGGTAGAAGACTTTTAGCAATATGCCTTGTAAGTACATTTCTTTCAGATTTAGATTCATTTTACGTAATTAAATTAAGCATATCTTGTAAATGCACAACAGGGCAGTTGCAAGGAAGACCCTGTTTATGATTTGAAGCCAGAATTCTGGTTGATGCTTTCTGCAGTTTAGCAGCTATGGGCTGTTACACTTTATAGTGTCTGTCTATGGCTATCGGAGCGGACAGTTACAAAGCTTAAAGCTATGTACTCCTCTGTTGCTGGTGTTTGTAGTTGTCCAAAGGGATGTGAGGCAAGTAAATCTCAAATTCTAAAGGCTTGTACCACGCTAGGACACTTTCTCAGAAATATTATGCATATTCAGAAACTTCGATTCCTTGAACCTTTGAAACTTTCATTCAGTCCAGAATTTTCATATGATATCCAAGCCAGAAGGACACTCTGAAGCTTTGCAGGGAGGGTGGCTAAGAAACACATCCTTATGCCTGTGACTTGAATTCATTTGATCTGGAGGTCATTGAGAAACTCTGACAATGATGTTTTTGGAATGTAGCTTACATCTTCCACCCTCTTGGTTTTGTGCAAGTTTCTAAGGGAATTTTCTTTAGTATGAACTGAATCATGCTCATAATTTTTTCTCTTGCCTTTTTATCAAAACCCAAAGGAAACTAAGTGGGTTTACACCCAGTCTGTGCATCTTGAGGGACTCTGCCTTGTTTTCAAAGAATATTTGTGTCAAATATTAAACAAATATTCCTAAATTCAAATGTTTCAAAATTTGAAATGTTTTATTTCAAGATTTCATTGCCTTATTGACATGTATCTAGGTACACTACCTCTTTTTGATATACAAAAATTACAATACAGGTGTCTATATTTTGTTATATACGAATTTATAATGTATTTATAAGTTAAATAATACTTGAGGTAAATATAGCTGCTTATTCTAATGGAGTTGCACCACCAGTAAATTTGGCCTATATATCTTGGATACTTTTCTTTTAGGCTACTCTAATTTCATTGGTGAAGGGACTGAGGCAATGATCCAAAACTTCATGAAAGAATGAATAAATTACAAGCTAAAAAGTATGGAAACCATATGTCACATTATATAATGTCAAGAAAAATTCCATAGCATTCTGACAGCTGGCTAAGAGTACTTTGTTCTAGTATAGATTTTTATTGTATCCCTTCTTTCCACAGTGCATTATTGTGTTTAGTCCATGCAGTAAGAATTCTGGTTTATTGTATTCGTTTTCATCAGAATGGTTTAGGTTTTCTGACTCTAATGACAAGAAGTTGTTTTTTACTTAAAGCATGAAAAGAGAGAGTATTACAAACACACAAAGATAACATAAGTTTTTAAAACTGAGCCATAATTACTAGATTTAACAATTTTGTTCTTGAAGAGTTGTAGAATAATCTATCTTAGTTGAGTTCAAGAATGCTGCTTTGTTATGTTCAATACTAAGCTTTTTTTCCTTTGAACAGTATTCCCCATGTCCACGCACTTTAGTTTAGCCAAACAATCGTCTGTTACCTGACAGAAAGTAATGTGGGAATATAATCAAATCAACTGTTAGGTGGATTAATGGTTCTGATACAACAAATCTTCAGATACGTAGTGCAGATACACATAAAGTCTTGCAAAGCTTTCATGTATAGCACCAATGTAAAGTAGCAATACTAGAGAATGAAATATTCTTTTTATCGGTACTTGGCTGGGAAACAATTTGACACACAGCAGCAATTTAGATATCCGGTGCCAAAGCCCTGGCCTAGTACCTGGGCAAAACATATAATGTGACCAGACATTTTGTTTTACTCTTCCTTCTGCTGTTCAATAGGTGATAAGTCTTTAACTTATCTAGTATACTTTTCTTAATGGAGCGTTTTTATGGTGCCTTCACTTCAAGGATTGTATTTGACTACTAACTGAAGCTTTCTTGCTTTATCTCAGTTTCTTCTAAGAATTTGGTATTTATCTCTTGGTTAAATGGACATACCTTCCTTCATAGTCTCTTTTTCTATGCCTCCTAAGTTGTTGCCGCACAATAGAAAACAAGTGTAAGTTTCTCAAAATTCCCAATACATGTATGCTTTTACTGTGCTGTGTACCTTTCTTTTTATATATTTTCTTAAAGGTTTTATGGAGTATGAGGAGGAATCACAGTGGAGGAATAAAATAGGCTATTCATATATGGGAAGACAATACCTTCCAGTTTCACACAGTGAGGAAAGTTTGTTCGCATTTTTGGATGACAAGAATTTTGTTATGTTTAGGAGTTTGATTTTATTTTTGGTCCCCCATAGTTTTTCAGTGCTTAGCAAAACCATTGTAGAGCCAGGCAGCCAGACAGCAATGTTTCTGCTTAGGCAATTGGTGGTAGCAGTTGATACTAGTTTGGAAGCTTTATATTTCATTAGGGCTTTCCTTCCTGTATGAGTATGGATAGCAACCTAAGTTTTATCAG